AGTCCAGCTCCAGAAGAGGCCAGAGGCTGCGCCGCTGGAGACGGAGGCTGTGGCGCATTACCAGGGGCTCCCAACTTCGCGCTTCGCGCTGCGCGAAGCGCGAAGCGCGAATAATTTCGCGCTCTCACGCCGCCTCCCAGGGGAGAAGAGGACGAGAAGGGATCGGAGCCGGACCGCGAAGCGCGAAGCGCGAACAACCTCGCGCCCTCGAGGGCGCCCTTGATTACGGAGCGTGTGTGTGTGTGTGAGAGAAAGAGGGAAGCTGTGATGTACTGGGTGTTGCGTCGTGGTCAAAGGCTGTGGAGTGCTGGGCGCGGCGCTGGAGAGGCGGGCGCGGCGGGCGGGCTGGGCGGCGGGCGGGCGGCGGAGGGTGGGGTGCTCAATGCGATGCCTGAAGGCGCCGTCTTCCGCCCGATGTACTGAAATACCTCCTCCTCCTCCTCCCCCTCCTCCTCCTCCTCCTCCTCCTCCTACCTCCTCCTCCTCCTCCCCCTCCTCCTCCTCCTCCTCCTCCTCCTCCTTTCTTCCTCCTCCTCCTCCTCCTCCTCCCCTCCTCCTCCTCCCCCTCCTCCTCCTCCTCTTCCTCCTCCTCCTCCCTCCTCCTCCTCCTCCTCCTCCTCCGCGGCAGCAGCAGCAGCAGCAGCAGCAGACCTTCCGTCCGTTTCCGCAATGGACCTCTGGCCCCGAAATACTGAAGGATGCGTTGGGGACGGAGGCCGTGGCGTACTGCGTGCGTGCCGAGGACGAGCTGTGGAGTGCTGGGCGTGGTGCTGCAGACGGACTCCAAGGGGTTCACGGTGGAGACGGGGGCTGTGGAGCACTGGGTGTTGCGTCGGAGAAGCGGGCGGGACGGGCGGGGCGGGCGGCCGGCGGCGGCGGCGGGCGCGGTGGTGGAGAATCGGGCGGGCGGCGGGGGCGGCCAGCGGGCGAGCTCGGGCGTTTCGTCCAACTGCCGAAAAAGCCGTCTTAGGGGACGCAGGCTGTGCAATGCTGGGGTGTGTGCTTGTCGGTTGCGGATTACTGGAATGTGTTGGAGACGGGGGCTTTGGAGCACTAGGTGCTGTGTTGCAGACGGAAGCTGTGAAGTGCTGCGGCGTGCGTAAGAGACGGAGGCTGTGGAGTAGCGGGTCTTGCGTTGGAGACGGAGACTGCGAGGGTGTTGGAGAAGCGGGCGGGGCAGGCGGGGCGGGCGGCGGGCGGCGGGCGGGCTCGGGTGTTCAATACAACTTCTAAGGAAGCTGTGTTGGTGGCTGGGGCTGTGGAATACTGAAGTGCGCGTTGCAGACGGGGGTCGTGCAGTACAATGTGTGGCTGCATTGATGACGGAGCTGTGAAGTAGCGGGTCTTTGGTTGGAGACGGAGGCTGTGGAGTACTGGGTGTTGCGTTGCAGACGGAGGCCGTGCAGTTCTGTGCGTTGCGGTGGACAAGCGAAGGGGGAGGGCGGGGTGAACGGCTGGCGGCGAAGGGCTCGGGTTTCAAACCAACTCCTGAGGAAGCCGCCTCGAAGACGGCAGCCGTGGGGGTGTCGGAGACGGCGGCTGTGGAGCACTGGGTGCTGCGTTGGAGACGGAGGCTGTGGAGCACTGGCGTGCGCGTTGCACTTTTTTGATTCGCGGGTCGAGAGCGCACCTCTTCCGGTCGAAGCTAAGCGGGCCGCGCGAAGCTCGAATTAACCAGAGATGGGGGAGTGCGCGTTGCGCACGGAGGCCGTGGAGCAGTGAGTGCTGTGGTTGGAGCGGAGGCTGCGGAGTGCTGGGTGCGGTGCTGGAGAGGCGGACGGGCGGGCGGCGGGCGGAGGGGGGGGCGGGCTTGAGTAGATGTTATGGCTATATTTGTATGTGTATATATGTATGTATATGATTTATTGATTTGTTCTATATAATGTGATGTATCGTTTGGTTTACATGTAGTATACGTATGAAAAATGATATATGATTTATTGTATATAAATATACATATATACATATATATATATGATGTTTTGTTTGGTGTTATATAGTATAGATAAGGCAAATACTTCCCTCAAGGGCATTTTTTTGGTGGGTCCCTGGGAACCCCGGAGAACCCCATCCAAAACTCCATCAAAGAAGTCCACTCAAGGAAGGCTTCTGGAGGGCTCAAACCTCTTCACGAACACTCGTCAAACATCTTCAAAGGTTTTTGTTTGAGGTTCCTGGGGAGGTCCGGGAGCCTTCCCAAAAATCCGGTTGAAAACCCCCTCTCTCAAAGGGTGCTTTTTGAAGGGGGTCCTGGGGGGGTCAGAGAAGCCACCAAAACCCACAGAGCAAAACCCCTTCCCAAAGTAGGTTTTGGAAGGGAAAGCGTCCGGGGCAGGCCAGACACCCCGCCCCCTCGTGCGCGCCGCCAAGCTTGTATATATATATATATATGTATATGTATATACATACACACAGATACAAATTTACATACATACGCCCACCTATTTTGTGTATATATATGCATAGATTCATTCATTCATTCATTCATTCATACATACATACATACACACAAACAAAGAAACAGACAACTAACTAACATACAACTAACTAACATACATACATACATACATACATACATACATACATACATACAGACAGACAGACAGACAGACATACACCCATACATACACAGACAGACCGACATACATACATACATGTATACATGCATACATACATACATATACATTCATACAAACATGCATACATACATATATAAGGGGGAGCGTAGAATCACAAAAAAAACTGCCTTGTATTCCCTACCTAGGCTCTGCCTAAAAGGGTTCTTACTCTCTATGTTGAAAAGGCCGGGCAGTGGGCCTCGCCCCAGTCGGTTCCCCCATAATCCGCCCCGCGGTTCCCCCAGTTACGTCCCCATAGCTTAGCGTTGCTTATCTAATATTAGCTTAGCTTATTTCATCTTAGCTTAGCTTAGCTTCATCTTAGCTCAGGTTTGTCTTAGCTTAGCTTACCTTCATCTTAGCTTCGCTGAGCTGTAGCATAGCAGAGCACAGCATAGCATAGCATAGCGCAGCATAGCATAGCGCAGCACAGCATATCATAGCATAGCCCAGCATAGCATAGCATAGCGCAGCACAGCATGGGTGTAATTCCCTTCCTAGGCTCTGCCTAGAGGGTTAGCTTAGTTTAGCTTAGCTTAGCATAGCACAGCGCTGCATTAGCATAGCATAGCATAGCATAGCATAGCATAACATAGCCAAGCATAGCCAAGCATAGCATAGCATAGCGCAGCATAGCATAGCATAGCACAGCATAGCACAGCCTAGCATAGCATAGCGCAGCTTAGCATAGCATAGCATAGCATAGCATATCATAGCTTAGCATAGCACAGCGCAGCACGGCATGGCATAGCTTAGCATAGCATCGCATAGCATGTCATAACATAGCATAGCATAGCGCAGCATATCATAGCATCGCATAGCATAGCATATCGCAGCATAGCATGGCATAGCATAGCATAGCATAGCAACTAATGCTGCTTTCCTAGGGGTTCCAACTTCTAGGTAGGGTCGCACTGGGGTAATCTGTTTTCTGCTCTACATATAGAGAGAGAGGAAAGGCAGAAAGCCCACAAAACGTGCCCCCCCCTACTCAAGGTGCGTGATCGGGGGTGGTCCTGAGAGGGCAGAGAGACCCCTAGAAAAAACGAATTAAAAACCCCCCTCAAAGGAGATTTCTTGGGGGTTCCTGGGGAGAGCGGAGAAACCCCCCAAAGAACCCACCTAAAGCCGCCTCTCAAGAAAGGTTTTTGGAAGGATTCCTGGGGGGTGGGGGGCGGAGAATCCCTCCCCCCCCAAGAAAAAACAAAGGCGAGTCACGGGTGGTTCTGGAAACTGCCACACCCTACTGCCGTAGGGCATGACATATTTGGACCGAACTCCGCCGCGAATCCGTTTGAAACAGACCGCGGAACGTGGCCGTTTGAACCGGGTCGCGGGGCGTGGCCGTTTGAGACGGACCGCACAGCATGGCAATTCCTAGGCGATCTCCGCTGCGTGGCCCTTTGAACTGGACCGCGGAGCGTGGCCGTGTCGCTGTCTGAACTGGACCGTTAGCCGTGGCAATTGTTGAGGCGACTTCTGCTGCGCAGCCGTTTCAACCGGGCCGAGGACTGTGGCCGCTTGAACTGGGGCACGGAGCGTGGCCCCTTGAGACGGGCCAGTGGGCATGGCAATCTCGAGACGACGCTCCGTGGCCGCTTCTTTCGGACCACGGAGCGTGGCCGTTTGAACCGCGGCGCGGGGCGGGGCCTCTGAGCCAGACCGCAGGGCATGGCAACTCTGAACCGAAGCCCGCTGCGTGATTGCTTGAGTCGAACCACGGAGCATGGCCGTTTGACAGGGCGTGGGGCGTGGCCATTCGAACTGGTTGAACTGCATCACGGAGCGTGGCCATCTGCACGGGGGCGGGGCGTGGGGCCGCATGCCGGGGCATGGCGACTCTGCGCCGAACTCTGCTGCGCGGCCGCGTCCACCAGACCGCGGAGCGTGGCCGCCTGCATCAGGGCGCAACCAGAAGAAGGGCAAGCGCTGGAGCCCGCGCCGAGGAGCACTGTCAGGGGGCCACATGCGAACCCCACCCCTACCCCCCCACGATTTCTGAGGGGGAGGGTGTCATGAACGAAGTGGCTGGGGGGAGGGGTCATGTGGCCCCCTAACTGTGAGGTGCGTGTGCGGGGGGGGGGGCACGGCGGCCCGAAGAGGCCAGGGGGCCGCCGCAGGTCCGTGGAATCACGGCTGGCACGAGGACGCGGGACTCCGGCAGCGCATGGCCCCATTGAGCCAAAGCGGCCACGGAGGCGACAAGGAGGAGGGGAAGGGAGATGGAGGGGAGGAGCGGGAGAAGCGAGAAGGAAGGAAACGGAGTAGGAGTAGAAGGAGGTGGAGGAGGGGGGGGAGGAAGGGGGGAAGAGGAGACGATGAGACGATGAGAGTGGACGAGTACGACGGAGGGTGAGGGATGAGGAGGACAAGGGAGGTGGCCTTGCACTTGTTGGTGTAGGGGTCGCGGTGCAGATCGATGAACTCTATCTCTCCTCGCATTCGTTCAGAAGCGTAGTAGAGGAATGAGGGCGCCCAGGACACTCTCATCCTCCATCGTCATCGCACGTGCAAAACATGGTCCACATACCCCTAATCCTCTTCCTGTTGCTGATCTTCCCCATCGTCATCATCGTCTTCATCACCCTCGACGCAGACCTGTCTCAGGTTACCATCATCGCAATTATCTCCCTCGTCCTGCTCATCATCACCACCGTTCATTGTTCCCCTGACCCTGATCAAAATCCTCATCATCAACACGACCACCATGGTCACATCAGCATGATGAGCATCATCGTCATCGTCATCACAATCCTGGCCGTCGTCGTCACCATCAGAATAGTCATCATCATCACCATCATCAGCAGCAGCATCATCATCGTCATGATCATCAGCAGCAGCATCAGCATCATCATCAACATCATCATCATCATCATCATCATCATCATCATCATCATCATCATCATCATCATCATCATCATCATCATCGTCATCATCATCATCATCATCATCATCAGAATCGTCATCATCGTCATCATCATCAGCAGCATCAGCATCATCATCATCATCATCATCATAGTCGTCGTCGTCGTCGTCGTCATCGTCATCATCGTCGTCAACATCATCATCATCATCATCATCATCATCATCAGCATCATCATCATCATCATCATCGTCATCATCATCGTCATAATCGTCAGCAGCATCATCATCCTCATTATCAGAATCAGCACCAACATCATCATCATCAGCATCGTCATCAGCAGCATCCGAATCGTCATCATAATCATCACCATCATCATCATCAGAGTCAGCGGCATCATCATAAGCATCATCATCATCCTCATCATCACCACCACACAACCCATAATCACCCTCGTCAGCCTCATCATCATCATATCATCAGAAGCATCATCATGAGCATCATCATTAGCATCAACATCAGCATCATCATCATCAGCATCATCATCATCGTCAGCATCAGCATCCTCAGCACCAGCATCCTCAGCATCATCAACAGCAACATCATCATCTGCAGCAGCATCATCAACAACAGCATCAACTACATGAACATCAGCAGCAGCAGCATCAGCAGCATGTATCAGCAGCATCATCATCATCCTCATCACCATCATCAGCAGCATCATCAGCATCATCAGCATTGTCATCAACATGATCATCAAAATCAGAAACATCATGATAATCATATTTATGCCACCACCACCGCCACTGCAAAATGCAGGTGGACGGCTACGAAGCTGAGAAGGCGTGATGCCTGGTTTGGCATAGATCGTACCACGAGCTCTGGGTGCGCCGCTGGGCAGTCAATAACGACGTCGGCGTGGCCAACATCGCCATGCACAAGATGAAGGCGCACGCCACTCTGGCGGACGTGCAGGACGACTGGATCACCGATTGGCAGCGGCGTGGCAACCAGCAAGCCGACCTTGCAGACTTGCTGCAGCGGATTTTTGCGTGGATTTCTGCGAGCAAAAAAAGCAATGAATTTCGAGTGGATTTTTTGTTGGTCTTCCTTCCTGGCCAAAAAGAATTCACACGAAATTCGCTTCGAAATCCGGAACGAAATTATCCAGGACTATCTGGGCCCATCCCCTTCTTGCCCGAACGAAATCCGCTCTGCGATTTTGGCGCCATGACACGACTACATCCTCAAGATTCTTCGGAAGCTGGGCGAGGGCTGCTAAAACCGTGGCTGCTACAACGGCCCTCCAGGAAGGACAAAACAACTTCCCAGAATGAGGCGCGGCACGCGAAACACTCAACGGGCCTCTTCCCGGAAGGACGAAAACAACTTCCCCGAGGTCGATTTTAGCAGCCACGGATTTAGCAGCCCTTGCCCTGCTTCCGAAAGATGATCAGCTGCGCGCACGAAGCGAGCGGCAGAGCCGCCTCACCTCCAAGGCGTCCCGCCGGCTCGGGCCGGGCACGCAGCTCGGCGACCGCCGTGCCGACGGCGGCCAGCGGCGGGGCGCTCCGGGCCTGGCGGCCGCCCGGTGCGCCCGGCACGGCTGCGGGGCTGCGCCGCGGGCGCCGCTGCCGCTGCCCCGACCGCTCGAGGCCTCGCGGAGGGGCGCCACGGCGCGTGGCGACGGCACGGAGGACGGCGCCACGGCCCGTGGTTCGCGGCGCCCCGTGCCGGCGAGGGCCGCGGCGCAGCGCGGCGAGGGCCGCGCTGCCCCTCGGGCGGCGCGCGCAGCGCGGGGGGGGTCGGGCCCGGGCGGGCCCGCCCGCCCAGGCCCGGCAGGGCGTGCCCCGAGGCGCCGCCGAGCGAGAGGCAGGGAGTCGTGCTCGGCAGGCCGAAGAGAGGCGTGCAGCCACTCGGCCCATGGGGCGACTGGCACTCCCGAGCCGCTGCAGCAGCGGCGCGGGCCCTGTCCCCCGCTCCCGCCAGCAGGCCTGTGCGATGCTCTGTGCCTGCCGC